GACGGCCGGTACTTGACGTGGAAGGACAGACGGGGTCCCAGGAGGGCCCGGTAGGAGGCTTCCCGGGTAGAAGTCAGGGTACTCCCTGGGAGCGTGCAGGTAAGTGACAGGGCACGTGTGGCGCAAAGCAAGGGGAGGACGGGGCAGGGCTGACCGGACAGAGCTGAAAGGCCCACAGGACCCCCAAGCCGACACTCACAGGTTGTGCTTATGAATCAGGATGAAAAGTCCGTTCAAGGCCAAGAGGCTGATGGCTCCCCCTGCAGACAGACACACGGCTGTGGAGCCCCGACCTGCACCCCGACCCGGGACGACTCTGGCAGAGCTAGAGGCCACCCGCCGGGCAGAGGTGGGAAGAAACCTCCAGCACACACGTTGCTGACTGGTCGGGCCCCCAGCTGCATGGCTCCAGGAGCACAGAGCACCCCCGGCCACGACCAGCAGCCCTCCGGGCGCACCCTGCTCACCAATGTCGTAGGCGCGGGTGAGGAAGTCAATCATGAGGCTGGGCTGCGCCAGGTGCGGCAGGATGGCGTCGTGCATGATGACCAGCACCTTCTTGCAGATGCGCAGAGGCAGCTGCAGGAAACAGCCAGTCAGATGCAGCCGCCCGCCTCCAAGAGCCACGGGGACGAAGCCCAGGCCCGAGGCCCGACCCCACCCCCTTACCTGGTGCTTGAGGAAGCCGAGCCACATCAGCTGGAAGGCTTTCTGGTGCTCCTGCGGGGAGGGGGAGGGGCAAGGCTGCACAAGCCGCTCCCCTACCCGCTCCCGGCCGCTGGTTCCTGCGCAGCCCCCACCACCCCGGTTCCTGACCCACCAACCCGCCTCCTGCCTCACGTAAGTAGGAGCCAGAACCCAAGGACCCCAGCGAGGACAAGCTTCCCTCATGGCCACGGGCCCTGTGCTCACAGCCGCCCTGGACAAGGACACCTCGCACCTGAGAGGACTAGACAGGCCACCTCTGACCTCTGGGAAGTGTGCCTGCGGGCCTCCCCTCGTGCTCGGGTCCCCCTGCGACCCCGGTGGCTGACAAGGCCAAGAAGGAGGTGCTAGCCCAAGACTGGGTGGTTCCCAGGGAGGCCACCCACCTACCCAGGGCGTCTCACCTTCAGATGAACGACCTTCCACTTGTCTGACAGTTCTGCAAGGAAGGCAAGGCGTCACCAAGCGCTGCAAGGCTCGCCCTGCCCGCCCACCTGCCTGCCTGCCCTCCCACCCAGGACGCTCACCCACGTGCTTCACATAGAAGCTGGAGAGGTCGCCCTCCTGGCGGGGCAGGCTCACGGAGGACAGCAGCGTGAAGGCATTGTTCCAGAAGATAAGGGGCACCTGCCAAAGGTCTGGCCTGAGCACCTGGACGCCATGTGCCCACTGCCCACCCCTCCTCCAGATACAGGACTGGCCAGCTCACCTCAGGTCGCCCGTCAGTGACCCGGGCCACGGTGTCCGAGGCTGCCTGCATCGTGTGGTAGCGAATGTCATCATGTTCCAGATACTCTCGGAACTGGGAGAGGAGCAGGGAGCGGTCCTCTTCCGAAGAGAGCAGGCCTTCCACCACCAACTGGGTGTGGGGGGCAGTGTGGTGAGCACTTCTCCTGCTCCCAGGACAGACAGCCCAGGGACGGAGCTCACAGAGTAGAGTCTGGATGGGCTACTAGAGCCCCCCTGAGCCCCACAACCCACCCAGAATGGGTAGCCCTGGCCCTCACCTTAAAGAGTTGGCGGGGGAACAGATAGTTGCCCTCCCACTTGGGCTTCTCCAGGGGATGCTCGCCCTCCAGCTGCACAAACTTCATAAGCGTGCTGAGAGCCAGCTCCTAGAAGGACAGGTGACAAAGGGATCGAGTTGTTCCCACCCCAACACCCTCCGCAGACAGGCCCAGAGTCCCCCTGGCATTCAGAATATCCACCAAATCACATTCCTGTGAGTCAGGAGACAGAAGGAACCCACACCCCAGAAAACTAGCCAAAGAAAGAGAGAGCATCCTTATCTAGACAAGTACTTGCAGCCACGGCCCCAGATCTTTGATGAGCAGGGAGCTGGGGGTTGGTGGGGGGGGGTCCAGGGATGAGGCAAGGCCAGCAACCCAGACTCACCTTGACCTGAAAGGAGGAGTGGGCCAAGAGCTCCCTCAGGCTGTTGCAGCAGCTGTGGTATCGATGCCGCATCCACACCTTGTACTTGCGAGTGGCCCCCTGGGACCCTGCAGGTGGGGCAGGGTGGTCAGCCTCACCCTCCCACTGCGTTCTACTCCACCCAACCAGGGAACAAGTGGAAACCTGTCACCAGACCTGGGGCAGGACCAACACCCCCGCAATCCCCGCAGGGGGAGAGGGCCCTACTTTGCCTAGAGGGTCCTCTCTCTTTACCCCAACACTCAGACATGCCATGGACTGTGACACATAACCCTGATTCTTTGTGGAATTAACACAACATCAAATTCCATGAGTGCTGAAAACAAAATAAAGTCACACCACACTCAACTTTTACTTAAATCTGGCTTCAAGGTCTGTATTCGAGGTCTACCCCTCCCCCCATACAAAGCCTTAGATCCTACCAACCTACAGGCCCTATGATGGAGTTTTGGAGGGGCTCATCCCATATTAGCAAGGTCTCTGTCCAACCCTCCCGGAGACTAGACCCTCCTGGACGCTCACCTGCCATGACCATCTCCTCAGAGGGCAGCTGGCCCACAAACAGCTCTCCGCGGGCCAGCAGGGCCCCAAAGAGTCGGCTGCATGCACGCACGGCTTCCTGAACCTCCTCCTGGTCCTCAGACTGGGGGAGAGGCGGGTCTCGGTGTCCCGTCGGGAACTGCGCCCTCTGCCCCTTTCCCGGCCAGGACTCCAGCCCCATCGCACCCCACCCTTGATCCCGGCATGCCCCTCCCGCCCCGCCTCTGCCAAACCTCTCACCAGGCCCTCAGACCGGGGGCCCTGCGAGGCGGGAGAATATCCCCAGCAGAGTCGCGAACCCCGCTATGCAATGATCTGCCCTCATCCGAGGCCAAGCCCCGCGTCGTCCGAGCCCGAAGAGGTCCCCACTCTGGCCTCCAACTCCAGGACCCGGCCGCGGACCCCGCCACCCCACGTGCCCCACCTGCAGCACGGCCAGGATGTCGAACACGGCGTTGGCCTCGCCGCGGCTC